TATAAAAAAACGTATGTGTTACCTGGAAGATGAAATTAGATGTAAAAAAAATACGTACACGTCAAATTTACGCAAAAAAAAATGCGGTTAATTCCGCCTGCGCATATTAAATATAAAATAACTAAAGTTAGCTCAAGTGTGAAGTAACGCGCACTCGGTGAGATCAGGTGCGCGTGCGGTGTACTGGATCTTTATACAACCGCGTTCGCAACCGCTTTGCGAACGCTGATCCGCTTCCAGAGTGAATTAGCGGTTAGGGCGGACTTCAACATGCCATACAGCCATACGTGATATCCACAATCTATACAAGTCTAAGGGCATAAACAAATCGTATTAACATCTACACCCTTCTCTACAGGGAAAAAGCGGATGGCGCAATGGTCAGTGGACAGTCGTCGTCACATGTGAGATTAAAGGTTTAACCTTTAATCTCTTATGCATGGTGCATGGTGCACCACGCATAAGAGATTACCCCCTATTAAACGACACATACACCTTTTAGTGTATATGTCGCTTTCACCCGCACTCTCGGACATTTTGTAATGCTTAATATTCACCATCTCGTTTGCTACCTTACTTTCAGTTCATAAATGGCACAATGCACGTTGCAATGTCTTCGGAAAAGAAGAAAAATATTTTGCGCAACGTTTATGAACTGCGCAAAATATAACTTTTGAAATATTTCGTTGTCAGACGAAAAATCCTTCATGCGCTTGAAACATGTCAGTTTCTATGAAATAACAATGGTCCATTATGTACACTCCCTCGCGGATTGCTGTTATGAAAACTGTATTTTCTGATCTGGCCCTTTCGATGTCTGGCTCTACGGTTCTACTTTAATCAATCGGCTGTTTGCGCGATTAAGCAATGCCTATTTTAGTCTGGTGCCGGTAATGTTTTCACTTGCTTGATTTCATCAGGCATTTTTCCCACATCTCACTAGATTTCGCCAGATGACATGTTCTACTAACTCGCATGCGAACGTTTCCTGAATGCCACCAAATAAAAAAAGTGTTGGCCATTGTTAAGTAACGAAGGATTTTATTAGAAATAAGTGAGATTTGTTTTAGAGAAGTCTATCTTTCTACCGTTACGTCGGCATTTTGTTTTTTATCTGCCTATGTTTGTGTCTGCATTTTTGGGCGTCTTCCGCCCCCACGCGCGGGGGGCTTTGTGCAGCCGCGGGGCTGGGTGGGGAAGAGTCGGACCCCGGTCGTTAACAAACGGATTGGGTTTCGGTTTGGGGCGCTGGAACACCCGTCTTGGGCTTCTGTCCGCCCTTGTGGCTTTTAAGCGAGCATGCTTGTGTCCGGTGTATTTCGCCGCTTAGTGTAGAAACTTCGCTTTTAATCGACGAAATAACTTAACTTAATGGCGCCAGCCAGACGGCGAAGAAAGCATGTAGTGACTCTACAAAGAAGTTGGGTTTGACCGTTAAGGCGTCGGAAGGGCATCACGTTGACAGCTCGCTGATCAGTGGGTAAGAGTGTACCACGTGACAATGGGCAAGTTTGAAGTGACTGGTCCGTCTCTGGATGGAAAGGAGGCCCCTACAAGTATAGAAAAGGGCTGCCGAGACGATTATCGGGGGATTAGGCATTTGAGATCAGGCAGATTCGGCTCTTGAGACTGGGGGACTAAAGTATAGGTTTTAATTTGGGGAGTTTTGTAATGTAAATTACTGTTGACTTGTCGTTTTGTTTTGAAATAAACGTGGCCACACTGTTCATCGTAAATCAACCAACGTCGTAATGTGTCCAGCGGGATCGAACAACTTTTAGTGTTTTGTTTCTTATTCGACTTCTCGGGGGACTTGCATCGGGCGAACATCATCATCGGTCGTCACCATCTTGACCGGCCCCCGCTCCCTCGGAAAGTTGACTGCCATACCTTTATTTTCTCTCAACAATGTTGCAGGTTCAGAATAAGAGTACAAGCGTCCCGCCAACAATAATACAATCTGCTTGCTATGATTGCTGGTTTCTTTTTCTCCAACGTGCCAGCGGCTAATGTGGAAAGAGTAGAAAGCTTTGTGGGAAAAACTTCACCAGCGAGTCACAAACTGCTACAGACGCTAGTAGTCTCGGAAGCGTCGCCTCTCCAGGCTGTAAATCCATATTGTCAACCTGGTTTAAACAGCCTTTCGGCCTCCGTCGCCTCCTAGCGGCATCAATGCACACCACTCACCAGACTTTTACGGAACACGCGAACTGCGGTTTATACCATGGTAGCGGTATTCCGGTTGCAGCTGATCCACGGTTGCGTGACGTAGCTGACGTGGCCCTAAAGAAACCATCCCGAATTCACAAAGATTGTGAATGGCACGGACAAGTAGGAGAAGATTAACACAGCGCGGTGTTGTGTTCATATTCTCTGTTCCCATATTCTTTATGATCTCTTTTAAATAACTGCCTACAAACTGGTCCAATAATCAGCACTTGTCAACAAAGCATGCTGCTATTTATTACTATGCATTAACATTGTGCTTATAGTTAAATCCTACAGTCATTTATTAGTGAAAGAACGAGGGTGCAAGCTAGCTAGTACAGGCTCAACAAGATTAACTTATTCAAGACGGGTTTTTGAGTGATGGCACAAATGCTGAGAAGTGTTGAAAATACCTCGGGTTTAGTGGACAAAAAATGAATGGGCGTCCCAAAAGAAAAAAAAAACGTGGTCGAAGACTTAAAGACACCCTTTACAATTTCTCTTTTGGATACCACAACTTTAAAAAAGGAGTTGCTTCGTCGATTTTATAGCGTTATGCTGTTCACAACCCCTAACAAACCCAAAGACAATGAACGCAAAAAGGCAATCACCTAATGGCTGGGTAACTGATTAAACAAACAACAAAGAATTCCCTTCGGCTTTTCACCGAGGAAATAAAAAATGTCATGCTCAACATGATGATTTCAAAAACAGACGGACATCACCCCTGTTTCTAAAATGACTGTATGCAAAGAAACTTCTTCCATTCGATTGCAAAACACAAGGAAGGCATTCAACAGTTCTCTAGGTTTCATCATTGTTATTGTTCTTTTTTTTTAGTATACACTTGTGGTCATTATCTTTAGTCAAAACTATTTCAGAAGCGTTTCTTAATGGCACACAGTTATTACATGAGATCATGTATTTTGGCACAGCTGAATACAGATCTTTATTTTCTGCAACGTTTTTACTCAGTTGAATCGGTCTTTAATGCAGGGTTTTGTCATAAACATTTAATAAAATAAGAATCGGCATTTGGAAATGTGTAAATTTATTAAATACTTGTGTGCATTTTATAGTTCTTTACTGAAATAGCTTTGAAGAAAGAAATGATTACACGTTTAAACTGAAAGAATCAATAACAATAATAAAGCATAGAAATGTGTTGAATAAAACTTCGGCTATGTTTAGGCTTTATGTCGTTCTGTTCTTGGAAGCTTGAGGTTGTGTATGATGATTTTTATTCCGTAGGTTATAGGCTCAAGGCCTTTTTTTTGTATTTTAAATCAGTATTTTTTATCAGATTTACAGAAAGGTCGGTAGGTTGCTTCTTTTTATCCTCTGCCCCAGGCCATGTTAGGGGTTGTCTCGAGTTGTGGACAGTGCAAGCTGAAATAACCGCGCGATGACCAAAAGATTCTGGTGGTTGTGCCTCGACGAAAGATGGTGAACTAGCAGCAACAGATGGTATAAGGACTAGCGTGCCATGGCCGCTGCCACGCGACCCAGCTTGTTGTTTGTCCGTGTTTAGCTGTGCTGAAATGTCGTTCACGGTTGCGTGTTTCTACCTACTGCCCATGCTTGTCGTTGCTTCCACTACATCAGCCTGTGTTTTTGTCCCTGTCAAATAATATTGTCAAATGCCTCAACAGGCTCACATAATGGTAACAATAAACGAGCCCACAGGCAGCACATGTACAGCAACGGTGTGCAGTTCTCCGTCATGAAAAGACTGATTCAGATATCCCGCCACTCTCGTTGCTAGTTAAATTGTTTGTGTCGCGCAGTGCCATTAAATTCTTTTGGTTGTCGATTGGTCATTTCAGCCTCTCTGGACTGCGACAGTATAGTAAAAGGCTGTAGGGACAGGATCAAATTTAATTTGTGAAATCGCTGTGATCAGAAGAGTACTTGTGGAAGGAGATTCTTCGAGTTTTTCTGCCTCTTCTATTGTTTGTCGCCAAGTTAGGAGACCCTTTTCTCCATTAAGATTCAACTGTGCCGCATTATCATATAAATTTACAGTAATGAGTTTCTTCTAAAGTCAATCTTGAAGGCAATGTCAAAATTGTTACAAGTTCAAGCAAGCGAAATTCACAAAATGAGGTAACTGTTTCCTCATTTGTTAACAAAAACACTTAACGTTTATTCACATTTCATTTGAGGACACTGCCATGACAGAATATATAAGCAACTGCTGCTGAAATTCATGTGGCTTGGGGTTTTTAAAAGTTTACACATTTAGGCATTTTTTCAGTTGTTTTCTTCATCACGAATATATTCTTGGACCAGAACATTACTTAAACAGAAGATGGAGTGGTTCTCGAAAAGGACGAGTTAGAGGCGAATTTTATAGTATTATTATCCCGGGAACTTGAATACCACATTCGGTTTGCTTGAAGATGTAACTAAAGGCGAAAAAACACTGAACTCCGTCCAGTCGTTACGTCATAGTAGGATCTTTCGGCCGCCATCTGTGTGTCGCTCGTGTGGGCAACGCGTGCAATTCTAAGCTTGCCAGGTACATTCCTTCGCACTGACCCCAGTCGTGACGTCGTGTTCTGACCTCTTTAAAAATAGCAAAAGTGCGTGTGCATAGTTTTGAGATACGCGAGAGCGGAGATTCTAAAATCTCGTAATATGACTGCAGCCTCTGTGCGCCAGAATGAAAAATAAACTCGACATTCCTGATCCGGAATGTGGAATAAAAGCTATTTAAGTGTTTTTCCTCAAATAAAGAACCGCTTTAGTTTTCCTTTAATAGCAAACTGCACCGTTGTAGAGGAACTTACATTGCCCCAGGCTTCCATTGTTATTGACTGTGCAATGACAGTGCAGCCAACAACTTCCAATCCTAAAGTGAAGTAGCGACATCTGGTGTCGGAGATTTAACTCTATGAAAAGTGTTGAATAGTGAGAAATAGTCATGTTCCAAGCCCAAGGAGCAGTGTCTGGCTTTCGCTGGCATAATGCTTTTTCTGTAGTAACCCCCTATGGCATGAACGGGTTGGCGGTGTTCTATTTTGTAAGGCTACAATTCGCATCACTTCTGGGCTGGCATGCTGTTTTTGTATCATCCAAGAAAAACTGTTTTCCTGCAGTAATGTTATAGTCCCTCGGTGTTAAGAGGAGCAGAAGGATTGTGTTATAACTTTCTATTTGAAAAAAAAAACATTTTTTTAAGGCAGTAGTTATTGCACATTGTAGCGATTGTGTGCTTCAAATGTTTTTGTTCAGGTGCCAACGTTTTCAAATGTGATATGCTCTTAAAAGGCTCCTTTAGGTTTCTAAAACAAGACTTTAATTTCTTGTAAACTCACCTATTGCAGGCACATTCCACTGTTAGGAGCACCTTATATGTTTTCATGCAGTAATATCAAAGTGTTTAAAGTGCGACATTATTTTTTCTCCTGGTTTTGTAGTTTGATAGAAACATTTGTTGTAATCTGGGGACATCAGGAGGTGATATTAACTCAAATTCAACCTGTTTTATTTCCCTTGGTCTCATGAGTGAATTTTTCTGACAACCGCGTGCTATTGTTGAGGCCTAGGGCTTACGGAAATTGAATAAGCCAAGTCGTCAAAGAGGATCGCGTCATTCAGAGACAAAACGAACTACGGCGCATGAGGCACAGGACATGACGACTGGCTCAATAAAAACCTAAGCTTTTAAAAAACAATCTGTTGTTCCTGCAGAATCTGCTAGCTGCTGTATTCAAAACGTTTAGTTGATATTCTAATTTACTTAATGCTTGCATGAGTAGGCCGGGATAGGAAGAGGACACACAGGAGTGCTATTGCATCTAGCCACACTAAACTGAAGAATGTACGACCCGAGGCTTTAATCTGAACGCTTGGCAAAAACGCCCGCGAAGAGTTTGGCGACAGTGATTTGCCGGTGCCGTGATTGACCTTGGCGCTGACCAGTCACAGCGGTAGAATTGTTTGCCGACATTTTTGCCAAATGTGACACGACGTGTCCAGGGCACGTCTTGTCACATAAAAGCTACCCGTTTATAAGTGCAACATGGTTCCATATAAAGTCTAAACTTTTATATGTGAAAAATTCTTCCTCATAAAAACAATCGTAGATAAGTGAAACATCGTTACATTCAGAGTGGCATAAAATATGCGGAACAATGTTCCGCATATTTTCTGCGCATCTGAACGCCTTTTCACCACGAATAAGTGGAGCTTTTTTGCAAAAACGTTTCCCTTACTAATTGGATCTTATGTGGAACAATATTTAGAGTGTTAGAACCGCTGTCCAGGATGTTTGGTACGCCTTGCAACATTTTAATTCCAAACGTAAATACTTGAAATCTAACAAGCGAATGCACTTTCGTTAAAATTTTGTCTTTTTTCTCTCTACTTCCGTGTGGAGAAATTTTTTTAATAGAGCGTCTTATGTCGAGTGTTCGTCGTCGACACACTGGTTTGCGAGCTTGCACACAAGTGGTCATGTGTCATATATTGCGTTCAAATCATTACTTATCGCGATGATCCTGCTTGTTGCCAGCCTCTATTATGACGTTGTCGGCGTTTCTAATTTCAGCAGGCGGGGTTTAAAAAAATCCATGATTCCCGGTGCACTTATAAATGCTTTCGAATGATCGCGGACAGGAAGCACGGAAGTCATGATCCCAGATGATAAACGACGCGCAAAATGCTGGGAATTCTCGTAACAGTCTGTGGCGCTGAATGGGAGCTATTTTTTTTTTCTTTATTTGATTTGCGGATAACTTTTCCGCATAGGGGGCAGAGATAAAGGCGTAATGCCTGACAGAGCCTCTGCCCCCTATAGTTCAGCATAATACATGAAAAAAATGCATGCAATACAGCAAAAATAAAACTAGAATAAAACAAACAGAAAGTATCAAGAAACTTGAACAGCGTATGGCGCAATGGCCATGAATAATCTGAACTAACAGCATCAAATAATATTGAACGGATAAATGAAAATAACAGAAATAACTACAGCATATGTCATAACACAAAATTCACTTGAAACTATCATGAAACTAGTACGAAAGAACTAATATCGGGAAATTGAGTAAAAAATAAACTATACTGAAAGTGCCACAAAAACTGAACAATATGTATATACACACGCATTTACATACTCATATATACATGCATACATATGCACTGTAAACAAAGAGACATAGACATTGAAATGCACTCACTTGTGGAAAATTTGGTCTAGAAAAATATAAAAAGGCAGAAAAAGCTTTTTAGCATTTACAGTGTCAGAAATAAGATCAAATAATTACAAAATAGTACAAAATAAGCTTTGAAGTGCGTATCGTTAGTATAAAAGGTCTCAAGTTGATGAAAAAGCAATACCACTACCCACCAGGAATCTTCTGCATTCATTTTTGAATTTATAAAAAGGTTTGTCAAAGTCTATGTTTATATCGTTTCTATTTAAAGTTTTTGATACCTGAAAAGTTATTGTTTGCCTGCCATAGTTAGTCCTGATAGCAGGCATCTTTCGCTTTGGGTCTCGAAAGGTGTACACACTCAAGCTGTCTGTTGGTGTAATGTATAATTTGTTCATATAAATCCATTGCAGGAGTTTGAAGTAGTATACCTGGTCTGCTTTCAGCATATTATATTTTATGAAGAGTGGTTGTGTACGTAGATTTCTTTTATCCCCTTTAAAATTTTCGCACATACGTAATATTTTTTTCTGCAAGATTACTAGCTTATTATAGTTCGAAGCTGTAGTTGTTCCCCAAATTAAGATTCCATAGCTGATTTTCGAGTAAAATAGGGAATAATATAATGTTTGTTTCAGCCAGATGGGTAGAAGGTTTTGTATTTTATATATGCTACCAGTAACGCGTGATAATTCTGCTTTCAGTTTGTTAATATGAGTATTCCATGAGAGGTCCTCTGTGAACCATACGCCTAGAAATTTTTGTTCCACCACTTGTTCCAGCAAGGTACCTTCAAACAATATGTTGATACAGCTACAGTCTCGCCTATTGGCCGGTTTAAAAATAACATACTTGGTTTTACTAGTATTTAGGCTTAAACGATTGATTTGTAACCATGTTGATAGTTTTAATAGGTAAGTATTAGCTGACAGTTCCAAGCACTTTTTTGTCACTCCCGTAAAAAACACATTAGTATCATCGGCATACATTATTAGCTCGGGGGAGTCTGGAATTTTAGTTATATCATTGATATACAAGAGGAATAGCAGAGGGCCTAAAATAGAGCCCTGTGGTACACCACACTGTATCCTCATTTTTTTAGATGACTGATCATTTATAGATACATATTGGTAGCGGTCAGTAAGATACGTTTTAATCAACCTTAACGCAACTCCTCGAACCCCATAGTTTTCTAGCTTTTTCAATAAAATACTGTGTTGTACAGTATCGAATGCTTTTCTTAAATCTAAAAATAAACCAAGCGTGAACAATTTGTTTTCAATATTTTCAACAATTTTATCTTTTATGTCAAGTAACGCTAGTTCCGCAGACTTTTTTTTCTGAAATCCATATTGTTCCGGCGTTATTATTTGATGTTTTTGAAGGAAGGAGGTTAGCCTATCATTTATAACCCGCTCGAAAATTTTTGAGAATGCTGGGAGAACAGAGATTGGTCTGTAATTATTAATTAAATTCTCTCCGCCTCCCTTGTAAACGGGAGTAATTTTGGCTATTTTTAATTCATCAGGGAAGTCTCCAGACTGGAGCATATTATTAACTATATGTGATAAAACAGGACTAATTATGCTCGTTGTGTACTTAATCGGTAAAGCCTTGATTTCATCATCTCCAGCAGCGACATCATTTTCTAAACTTCTTATAATTTTATCAATTTCGAATGGTGTTGTTGGAGCAAGCATGATTGATCCTAGCTGATATCTTTCAAATGTACAGTCACCCGCAATGCTATCATTTCCCGCGTACGATCCAATACTAATAAAATGCTGATTCATTGCATCTGCGAGTTCTTTTCCAGCGACAGTTACATTATCTATTACGATTTCCTTCACAGTGCAACGCTGCTTTCTGGTGGTTAGATTGTTTATCGTGTCCCAAACTTTTCTGTGGTCATCCTGTACACGCTGAAACTGAGCTTGAAAGTAATCACATTTCGCCTTCTTCAGGTCTCTGTTCAATTCGTTTCTGAATTTTTTGAACTCGGCCAATAAGCGAGGATCACGAGTTTTAATGAATGCATGGTATTTACTGTTCTTTTCTTTTATTTTTTTATAAAGATATCTAGTTACCCAAGGCTTTCTTAACTTTTTTCTTTTTGTTTTTTTCTCCCGTAGAGGAAAGGCTGCGTCATAACATCGTTTGTATTTAATCAGGAAGTTTCTATAAGCCAGCGTGGGGTTGCACTCATCGTACACGTCGTCCCAACTTTGTTGCTCTATTATGGAGCCAAAACGTCTCAGTGTTTCGTCGTTTATTGAACGGTGCCAGAATTTTTTTATGTCACGATTTTGTTCCTTGATTGAAGAAGACCCAACGCAAAAGATAGGCAAATGGTCACTGATATCGTATAAAATTACGCCAGCTGTAGCATGACAACTATCTGTGATGCAGACGTCGAGGGACGTTGCCGTGTCAGCAGTCACCCTGGTTGGCAGTGTTATTAGATTGCTACATCCGTACTGGTGGATGATATCTCGAAATTCTCTCGCGTAAGGGTCATCTGAAATTGTATTTATGTTTACATCGCCAAGAATTATAAATGACGCAGATAGTGATCCAAGGAAACATAGTGCATTTTCAAGAAATTCAATGAATTCAAGCATGTTGCCCGATGGCGGTCTATACAAGGCAGCAACTACAGCGGCTGGTGTTTTAACAAACTTTCTATATTTTCATTCATTCTTGTGAGATCATCAATAACTTGGTATTGTAAAGTATCCTTAATATAAACTGCAATTCCGCCGCCCCTTTTATTCTCTCTGCTCAGGCTTTTGCAGTTGTACCCCTGAAGGCATGGAGGCATGTCCCCTTTTGCTAGCCAGGTTTCCGTAAGTACGATAGTTTTAAATTCGACACTCAGCGAGTGTAAAAATATTTCAAGCTCGTCTACCTTATGTTTAATGCTTCTCGTGTTTAAATTTATCGCGGAAAATGTTTTCCCACAATTCTTATAGTTTTTATTGAAGTCCTGGCAATCATGATAGTTGCAATCAGGCAGTTTTTCTTCCATCATAGCTTCTTGTGTACTGTAGGGCCGCAAGTATTTTGTTTAATTTCTTATTTTGTCAACATCGGACAGGCTAGCGATTCTGATAATGTCTGCGTTCTCGTCCTTCCGTGCGAGGATCTTCCCACCTGAGGACCACACAAACTTCCACCCGACGTCTTTCTTTTTGGCGATTGCAGCACCCAGTATCCTCTTGTTTGAGCTGGTTAAATGCTCATTCACGTACACGGGACTGCTGTGACCACCGTAGTCAAGGTCAGTACTTGTCAGCCTTTTCTTTTTGCTTTTTTGAAGGATTTTGTCTCGTTTCGTACGTTGTACGAAACGTACAATGATGTTTTTTTCTGTTGCTCGGAAGGTAGGAATACGGTGGCACACGTCAATATCGGAGTCTAATATTGGTTCGTCAAGAAGATTTCCAATCCTTTTAACGACATCATACGCGTCACCTGCTTCGGGCACACCTTTTATTTCTAGATTGTTACTCCTCTGGTACTGCTCGAGCTCTTCAACTTTTTCGTTAAGCCTACGAATTTCGGTGGCCAGCTCTTCGTTCCTACTCGAGAGTTTCTGAACCTCTTTTCGAAGTTCTTTTATTTCGTTTTTTATTTCGTTTACCCCGTCACATGTGTCGCTGCAGCTCTTTACGCTGTCTTTTAAGGTCCTAAGGTCTGCCCTTAGGACTGAGTTCCATGTGCGAAGCGGCCTTTAGGCCTTTACTGGCGAAAGCATCAATCGGTAGAAAGATCAAAGTTCTTGTAATAAAAACAGCATCCCCAATGTTTTTTTTGTTGTTTTTTTTTGCAAACGTTGCCAAGGGTTTCAATCGGTTACAGCTGGCTTCCACGTCTGCAGAACAGACGTGCCGGAATTCCCGCCGGCCAGCGACGATTTGCCCTATGCTAGCAGAAATACTGCTTTCCGATGTCGGTTTCTAAAGATGTCGGCGACGTTTTACAAACTACCTTCTGTGTTGCTTCGCAATAATTAAAATTTTGTATCTCGAGTACGGAAAAAAAGGCGCGAGCGAAATGGAGTTTGGGTCGCCGATGTTCCTTTACTCTGCAGCCGCAGTGTAGCGCCGCTTGTTTGCCGCTGAAGGGATGAAGATTTAAGCCATTACAGAGATGGTACCTAAGCAAGAGATGTGAGCGAACGTGGGGTTGGATGAAACCGACATAACAATCCTGTTCTTTAAGTGGAGTTGAGATTAAACAGACACGTCGCCTAAGAGGTTAAAGGGCGCGAACTAAAACAGGATGAAAAAATCAACTTCCACCAGCTCGCCTGCGCACTCACTGTTTTTTCATGTATACCAAATAGCCCCAACTTGAATTTTATTATGTCGTCTAATACGTATCTTTTAGTTCTTCGTACCTGCGCTTAAAGTTTTCAATAAAATGTGACTCCCACTCCTCTTAGATATTTCACAAACCTTGTTTACTGATGCAAAATCAGGTGCTTGCATATCTCTGACACGCAATTTGTATCGGGTTGCGTTGATTCTCCTTCTTTATATACAGGTTGTTATAAATGTTTACAATTAATAAAAGTCGAACAGCAACACAAATCCGTTCTATGGAGGTGAGGTATATTTCACCAGAAGCCAATATTACAGAGGACTAATCGTCACTATAGGTCGAACAATAAAAGGAAATAGCTAATTAACGTTTTAATTAGCGAAATTGAAAATCTGGATCCAATCTGAAACTAGCTCAGCATCATTGGAACCATTAAATCAATTAATTGTAACAATACATATTGCACGTAGAACTCGCGGAGATGCACTAAATTTACCACTCGTACAACAAGCACAAGGCTGGGGGTGGGCAAACGCGAATGGTACCTTTAATCAACATGATTTTTATATAATTACTGGGGTCACCTAGGTGTCCCCGAAAAAGACGTCCTAAAAGCACACGAGCATGTGCAGGAGTGTGTAACAACGCTTCACGCACTAACCCAAATGCCAAGGTTTTAACTTTCGCCAACAAAGGACTGGAGGTATTGGTTTAACACCACAGGTTTCGGACGAGCGACCTGTGTGTACTGCTGATATTGCACTAATAAAAAAGACCTAGGGGATTGCGAGATTTTTCGGCCTAGGGATCCTCACTTGGCGGGTTTGATCCCGGCCGAGGTGCCCTCAATTTTACGGACCACCATTGCGGGGAAGCCACTGTCTCACCGAAATTTCGGTTGCACGAAAAAACAATCCCAGGTGGCCGCTGGGGTGCGCCAGCTGTCGTTTTTGTGTTTCGCACAGAATATCCCGAAGTTTGACATTGACGCAGTTCTGGCTCATCTCGCCACTGGGTTCTTGTATGGCTTCTTTTAAACCTCTATAGATTATGATTAGGTATGCTGTGTAATAGGGTGTTTACGGTTTCTTCGGTTTCTCGTAGAACGACTAAAGCTTGACCGTTTTAGGGCTATAGCAGCATTGCCAGATGGGAACGTGATCGTGACACAAAAATTAGAATCTAAATTTCTCAAAATTTCTACGAACTCTTCTTCAAAACTCTGATTCAAAACTATTATTCAGAACAGTTATTTTACTAAAGAAACGTATATAAGTTCAGTCAGTTTTAGGTATACATACACAGTTCTAAACGTGCTCAACGACAGCAAGCTACGGTCAAACAAATCGGGCCCGTGGACTGTGGACGTCACAATGACGAACACCCCAAGACTTCCGGGGACAAAAACGACAAATACACTGAAGAGTTTGATCTTTTAGTCTCACAATTTAAATGTATCACTTCTGAAACCAGACATACACCTTTTAGTGTATGTGTCGTTTTTATCCGCACTCTCGGGGTTTTCGGATTGCTTAATATTCACCAACTCGTTTGCGCCCTTACTTTCAGTCTATTAATGCCACAATGCATGATGAAATGTCATCTGAAAGAAAAAGATTTTTCGTAACGTGTATGGACTGCGCAAAATAGCGTTGTCGAAATCTTTGGTTGTCGGACGAAAAATCCTTCTTGCGCTTGAAACATGTAAGTCTCACTGAAATGACAATGGTTCATTATGTATACTCTCTGGCAGATGGCTGTTATGAAAACTAGATTTTTTGATCTGGCCTCTTTTATGTGTGGCTCTATGGTTCTACTTCAATCGGTCGGCTGCTTGCGCCATTAAGTGATGTCTACTTCAGTGCGGTGGCAGTAGTCTTTTCAGTTGCTTTATGTCATCAGGCATTTTCCCCCAGACCTCACCTAGTTTTGCCAGGTGACATGGCCCACTAACCAAAACACAAACGTCTCCAGAATGCCACCAAATAAAAAAAATATATATATATTTTAGTAAGGTACGTTGTTGGGCTAGTTGGTTCATCTTAGTAAAACATATAAAATAGCGCAACAGAAACAAGGACAAGAAGTAAACAGCGCCTGTCCTGTTTACTTCTTGTCCTTGTTCTGTTGCGCTATTTTATATGATATATATATTTGTCAAGGATGTTAATATGTGGCAACGCTGGCTATGACGTGATGCAGGCTTGGGCCATTAAACGATGTCTACTTTAATGCGGTGGCGTTAGTGATTTCAGTTGCTTGATGTCATCAGTCATTTTCCCTTAGATTTCACCAAATTTCGCCAGGTAACATGTTCCACCAACCAGAACACAAACATCTCCAGAATGCCGCAAAACTAAAGTAACAATTGGTGAAGAATTTTATTATCTGGCAACACTGGGCTGTGCCGCATTGAATATTTAGCACAAAAGTACAAGCTCCCCTCCAACGAGACCCTCGGCTCGCTATGATTGGTTGATTATTTTTCTCTAAATGTTTCTTGAGCTCACACAGAAAAGTAGAGGGCTTTGTGAGAGGTACTTCTCCTGTGATTCCCAAGCTGCTACAGACTGTAGTAGTCTCGGGATTGTCGCTTTTCCAAAGTATGAATCCATGTTTGTCGAGTTGGAGGAAACAGCCTTTCGGCCTGCATCGTCTCTCTCGGAACCAGTGCACACCTCTTATCAGAATCAGAATCAGAATCAGTTTATTTTTGTCACAGCGCTTTTACACACATGTGACAAGGGGGGCCAGGAAAAAAAGCTGCAAGTTTGCAGCTTGACGGGTTCCTGCCCCCCAAAAAACACAGGGCAGAGCGGCACTGTCATCAAAAACACACACAAAAAAACAGTGAAAATAACTGATGTAACATGATATTTAGCAATATATTAAGCATCGTCTCAATACACATTGAGATAGATAGATATAACAAACATAAGGCAAAGAATCTATTTATTACCGGCAAGTTTAAGTTTTATGGACATTTAACGAAAGTTTACCAACACTCATCTCCAGACACGAAAGAAAAACACAATAAAGATAACTTATATAAGATATCGCATAAAATAAGTGTCATTGGAAATAGGTTGCGCTTCAAAAACAAACTGAAGTAGAAAATATACCAAACATATGACAAACATTTTCACTCAATATAAGAAAGCCTCAGTTCTATGGGCATTTAATGGAGGTGAATCAACTTCTTGGGAATATAAGGTGTTCAACAGTGACGGTAATCTGTAACTCAACCTCTGGAAGCCAAAATTAGTTCTAGATGATGGGATTCTCCATGGACGCCAATGGCGTGAGGAATATAATGATACATTATTTTCAAGTTTAGCGAGGTCAAAAATTACTGTAATATGTTCTCTTAAGGCACGATGATATGTGACCGTTAATCTATTAGAGTACATGTTAGATACGTCAAGTATTTTATGCTTTGCAAATAAAGGAAGAGAACTATGGTCACGTGGGACATTTTCAATTATCCTTATTGCTTTTTTTTGCATTAACCTCAACCTGTCAAAGTTACTTTTTGTTGTTGTCCCCCATACCAGGTGGCAATAACAAAGAATTGAGTGAAAAAGGGAATTATATACTAATTTTTTTATAGTTACAGGAAATACATTTCTATATTTGTTCATTATCCCTACTACTTTACAAAGTTTTTTATGTATGTAGGATACATGGGGATTCCACGACATGTGTTCTGAGAACACAACGCCGAGGGTCTTCACGCTGTCAACGCATTCTACTATATTTGGCCCAAAGTACAAATCTCTGGACAATGTGATCCGTGATCCTGGACATTTAAAAAGGACTGCTTTTGTTTTGGACGGGTTTATTGATAGAGAATTAATGGCGACCCAGTGTGTTAACTTGCGTAAAAAATAGTTTCCTTTGGAAGTGAGTAGGTCTTCTCTTGAGTCAGAAAAAAAGATGCTGGTGTCATCTGCATACATAATCAGCCTGGCGGAAGATTCTATCTTTGTAATATCATTGACGTAAATAATAAACAACAGGGGACCTAATATGCTTCCCTGGGGAACCCCAGACGAAATACGCTGCATGTTGGATGACGAGTTTCCAATCTGAACATATTGGTGGCGATATTCTAGGTAGGACGCAAGAAGTGATAAAGGTATACCACGTATACCATAACATTTTAACTTGTCAAGAAGAGTCTGGTGGTTTATCCGATCGAACGCTTTGCTAAAGTCT